TAATGGGAAGGAAATAAGGACATTTGTGCTGTGAAGTTTCACAGAATTTGATTTCTCAAGTCTTTCTCCATGTGTCTTATGACTGCAAAGCAACAAGGTTGTGTCATAATTGCCTGTGGCTACCCCTCAACACCTTTCTTTTCAAATCTCAAAGCCACCAGCCCAATTCAAGTTTCTAGTCTTACATGTTCCTTTTAACTTTCACTGCTACTTCACCAAATCTCCTGGACAATCTTCCATTCCTTTTGTTTCCTGAACTCAGAAATCCAGATGATGCTGGCTTGCAACCACAATTTGCGAGTCCCCTCAGAGCTGGGCCTTTTGGCTTCATTCTTCTTTGTTAAATGTGATGGAGATTCTCAGTCATCTACGTCATGGTTGTCCCAAAGGTGCTTTTTCCAAAAGGAAACTGGACTTTCATGGTTTTTTTCTATGAAAATGTTTCTTTTCTCATGCAAGAAACTTTTTCAGTTCTAACTAACTGGTGGGGAATGGAAGGATTTATATTCTATGCAGTGATCTGGTTGTTCGTACTCTTGAGCGTCATTGGCCTCCACTTGGGGGTTTATCTACATCCTCAGAGTCACCAGAATTAGAGTGCAAATGGGTGTGGAACCTTCTTGGGACTGCTGAAAGGACTGTATTGTAAAGAAGGAGATATCCCTCCCCCTCTGTTGCAAACCTGCACAAGAATCATTTCACAAGTGCATGGCACAACACAGGAGAAGAAACTCATCAGGACAGGATTTGGCAATCCACCTGCATCTGAAAGACAAAGGTCACTCTTTTAAAGACAGCAAAGTCCACATTCTGGACAGAGAGGACCACTGGTTTGAAAGAGGTGCCAAATTAAAATTGAATAGCCCCCCCCAACAGGATTGTCTCTTTTTCACAGGAGGTAGAAGTTCTTTATGTATCTATCGATGGCCGATTTGTCACAGTGCCAGGCTTCCAGGAATTCTCTAGAATTTTTGGACCTGGCTTGGTCTACGATGGTCACAGTTTCCCAGTTGAAATCATGGTTATGAGACAGATGGAAAAATACCTTAGAAAAATATTTTTCATTAATAGAAGTTATGTGTTGCAAGCTTTAGATAAATACTAGGAACTGGCTGAGTGTGATGACCTGTGTGCAACTCTGTTAAGAAACATATTACAAGAAGTGCCAACCAAAAGTCAGAGATGGTGTAAGATAATATCCGTGTCGAGCAATGTGGTAAGAAGCCCAATTGTATGAACTTCTCCTTTTTCCTTGTGTGAATGCTAGATATAAACTTCTCCCTTTTTGCTGTGTTAAAGGTAGTTAAGAGTCACCCCTTGGATGATGTATGTGTGAAAAGCTGTATAAAAGTGACGCCCTGGGAGTAGCCCGGGATTCAGAATTTGTCATGCAAATGCTCTGAACCTTTGCGCAAATAAACCTGTTTCTCCAACCCTTTGTGGTCTTGTCTTCTCAGTAAGTATCAAGGATTTCTACTTCAGTTAAGTCTGTCCATCATTTGTGAAATTAAAGAGTTTTCATAATGTCCTGTGACTAGCACTCTGACAAATTGGCCATTTTTCTGCAAGAAAACAACCAAAGTCAGAGAGCACCAAGGACTCCTCATTTCAACCCTTAGCTACAGGACCTCTCCTTTAAAGTAGAACAAAATGGTGCCAGATCACTTGTAGTATCTCAGGTGAGAATGCTGGGTGGATTTGCTCAATGGTGTGTTATTTGCTTTCGGGTTCTTTAGTTGCTCTGAAATCTGGACAGATGTTGTGATGGCTCAGGTTGCACACCAGAGATGGTGACTCTCCTTTGCTCTTTCTCACCCCATTTGAAGGAAGTTCCCTGCTTTTCCATCTCTTTGATCTTGGAGCCTTTTGCCAATATTTGCAGCTTCCTCCCCCTTTACGGGCAGAATCCAGTTGCTCAATGGACCTTTGTGCAATATATAAAGTTGCTCTTTTCATGATCATTTTTTGTGAGCAGGATACAGCCTTGTCATCTCTGAAACTTTCTTCTTTCGAATAACCAGTAGTCCCGTTGAATCTGACAAGTGAGTAAAGTCTGCAGACTTTTTTTAAAAAACATTTTTTTCAGAGAATTAGAAGATGGTTTTTAGAAAAGGGACTAGAATTTCTTGTTTTCTGGCTAGTTAATTTAGGCTATTTAGGCTAGTTAGTGCTATTCCAGGCTAAACATATGTAAAGAGACAACAGTTTCTTCAGCCATAATAGGAAATGCCTGCTAGAGTTTGAGACATAGAGAAGGAGAGTGGGAGGAAAAAGGCAGTGAACGGAAAGCCCCAACTGGGTTGCCATTTCTCCTAGGTTCAGACATGTGCTTGCAAATTTCTACCCTCTTTATCTAGCAATAAGGCCCGTTAAAAATCAGCGGGAGATTTTTCTAGGTAGATACTGATAGAATTGCATTTCTTAGAACACTTGTGCAATTGTACTGAATGTAATGGATACATTATGCAAGGTATCATTTCTACTTTGTTTTGCTCTAATATTGCGACTGTACAGTTGACAATTTGTTCAGTTTTGGAATCAGAGAATCCTTGAGGACAAATAAAGTTAGGTCTTCTTCAGAAAAACCACAATGTCATGCCTCCATCTGAGTCTGAATCTGAGTAGGAAATGGAGCTGGAACAGGATCCTATGGAGGCAGAGGGAGAGGTGTCTGTGGCTTCAGAGGACTGTGGGGAAGAGCAGGCTGAGGCAGGCCAGGGACCTTCAGGATTGGAACAAGGGAGACAAGAGTTCAGGCGATGAGCAAAGCCCACCCCCACCTGATCCTAGAGCAAGAAGAGTGGAGAGAAGGAGGGAACAATGCAGGCAGGCTCAATTACTCGGGAGGAGAGCGTCCCGCCCCATTCCACAAGGCACACCTAGGGATTGAGATTTAAGGAGACGCTGTGGGTGGCATTTGTCGGGAACAAAGTCTGATTATTTGGAGTGTTGTGTGTTGTTGCTCTTGTTCTGTGCCTTCTGTTCGGAAACTTGGAAACCTTGACTATCAGACTGTATTTTGGATTCTCTCTTTTGGAAACTGCTCAGGCAAGCTCAGATTCAAACGACTGGTTAAGTTTATGTTTTCTTCCTTGTTATTTCTATGGCCTTGACTACTTTCTTATGCTAATCAGCCTGTATTTGAACCTACTTTCAACCAGAGTTGGCTGAAGGGATGTGTGTGTGATCTTTTGTTGGAGGCTTGCCAGCAAGCGTGGGAGCATTTGGGGAAAATTGGGAGCAATAAAAGAACTGTTTGAATTGCCAACTGACTGCATTGGATCCATATGTGTGGCAGGCATGCATGCTGCTTGTGTGAGTGGGTATGCACATGCATGTACATGCACTCGCCTGCCACTTCTGTGGCCCACTTCCGAAAGGCTCAAGGCCCGGTAGTGGATTGTAGCCCAAGGGTTGGGGACCCCTCAGGTTTGGGGAATGTAGCTATTGTAAAAAATATTTCTGAGGCTGGCCTTTGTGTAAAAGAAAATACAGATCAGCTTTATTTAGTAAATCCCATGGTGATTAGAAATCCTGAGTTGCTGGGTTCAGAGACAGAGGATGAAATTCTGCTCTTTATCTTTTCAGTTGTACCTGACTTTTTATAACACTGTTTCTCAAACTTGGCGACTTTAACTGATGTGGACCTCAACTCGCAGAATTCTGGAAATTGAAGTCCACACATCTTAAAGTTGCTAAGACTGAAAAACATTGCTTTATAGACTTTAGAGATTAGTTCTCTCCATTTTCTTCTGATGCTTTACGACTTTGGTTAATGTTTCTAGGTTTTAAAGAGCACCATATTTGTTGATATTCTGTGCTGCTCTCTTTTATAAGTGCTTCCAACCATTCTGATCATAACTGGCTTTTCTAAGGAATTTTATTCCACAATATAACCAAAAGATGTCAGGCTTACCTTCGTAATCCTAGGTTTCCGTTTGACATGGTCTAAAATCTCCTTGGTTGTTATTTTTGCTCTCCAAGATATGAGCATTAGTGGTCTCCAATCCCACAATTTGCAAGAATCAAATTTTCTTCTGTCTCCCTTCTTTTTAATTGTCCAATTTTCATAACTATATATAGTTATAGGCAGGGCTTTTTTTCTCATAGAACGTACGTTTTTTGGATGGAACCTTGTAGGGCAGGCAAGGTGGGTTGTATGATGTGTGTGAGTTCCGGCACCTTTATTTTTTTTAGAAAAAAAAGCACTGGTTATAGGAAAGACTGTAGTACAGGTAGTCCTCGATTTATATCCATTTTTAGTGACCATTCAAAGTTACACTAGCAGGGATAAAAGTGATTTACAACCATGTTTCATCCTTACGGCCATTGCAGCATCCCTATGGTCGTGTGATCAAAATCTGGATACTTGGCAATTGCCTCATATGCATGACGGTTGCAGTGTCCTGGGGTTAGGTGACCAACTATTGCAACCTTCTGACAACCAAATGTAGAAACTAGATTCACTTAACAACTGTGTTACTAAGTTAACAACTGCAGTGTTTCACTTAACAACTGTGGCAAGAAAGGTTGTAAAATGGAGCAAAACTCATTTAACAATGATCTTGCTTAGTAGTGGAAATGTTGGGCTTAATTGTGGGTTATAAGTCAAAGATTCTCTGTACAGTGGGCAAGTTTAACAGGGGAAAGATCCAAAGTTGATTAATCTTTGAGTTGGTTGAGCAACTGTGGCAGGAAAAGGGAATCTCAGACAAATCATGGTTAACATTCAGGTGTGAAAGGACTACAGTGGTAGAAAGCTCAGTTTTTCAATGACTTTCTCCACTGTGAAAATCGCTTCATTTATTTTTATTGATGGTTCTCTGCCACCTAGAGTCACTTTTTGTGAGATGGGTGGACTTATAAAGGTGAGAAATAAAAATAATATTTATTTATTTATCACATTTATCACATATAAATCAATGATGAATTAGCATAAGGTGGGCTTATACAGTAAGAGGAATAATCTCATATTGGTTGTAACTTTTTCCAGGTCCATCAACTCTTCCTACTGTTGCAATGCTTTGTCAGCTATGCCCTTCTCTCCGGTGCTGCCTCCTCCTCCTCCTCTTTCCATTAGCCTCCAGTTCTGCTTCTAATGGGGACACAGTGGTCATAACCAGCAGTGGCCCTATTAAGGGCAAGCGGTTCCTGACTGGCCCTGGATCTGTGACAGCCTATCTAGGCATTCCTTATGCTGAGCCTCCCCTGGGGAAGTTGCGCTTCCAGAAACCTCTTCCACATCAGCCATGGACTCAAACTTTGGAGGCCACCAGCTTTGGCAATTCCTGTCCTCAATTTATTTTCCGGGATCTCCCTGAAGCAGAGACAATTACTCCTAAAACACCACTGTCAGAAGACTGCCTTTCCCTCAACATCTGGGTGCCACACCCACAACCTTCTTCCCCAGTGCCTGTTTTGTTCTGGATACACGGAGGGGGATATTTCATGGGCTCATCTTCTCTGGACATATACAATGGGGCCTCCTTAGCTGCCACTGAGAATGTCATTGTGGTCTCCATCAATTATCGCTTGGGAGCCCTAGGCTTTCTTTACTTGCCACAAGCTGCTCCAGGGAACCTGGGCTTATGGGACCAACAGCTGGCCCTGAAGTGGATAAAAGAGAATGCAGCTGCCTTTGGGGGAGACCCTTGTCGGGTGACCATTTTTGGCGAGAGTGCTGGAGGATCTTCCGTGAATTTCCATCTTCTTGCGTCAAAAAGCCAGGACCTTTTTGCCCAAGCGGTGATCCAGAGTGGAACAGCCAATGTTTTCTCGGCTTGGAGGTCTCCTGAGGAAGCCAAACGGTTATCGCTGGAATTTGCTCATTTGCTAGGTTGCTCCGAGGACAGCAATACCAGCATACTGCATTGTCTGGAAACAAAAAATGTGTCTGAATTTATTCGGCATGAAATATCTATGTTCTTCAAAGGTGGCTTCTTTCTGGATTTTCCCTTCAGGCCAACCGTAGATGGGGATTTTTTGCTTGATGATCCAGAAAAGCTCATGGAGGAGGGGCAAATTCAAGTCAAACCTGTCCTCATAGGAAAAACCTCTGATGAAGGAGCCACATTTGTCTCTTATGTTTTCTCTAACATCACCCACAATCTCATCAATCAGGAGCAGCTTCTGAAAGGGATAAGACTATTGGTGCCAAATGCAACTGAAGACTTTGTTCAGAAGATTGCCCTGAGGTACAGTGAAGGAAATCAGGGCCCAGCCAAATACCGCTCTGCTCTGTCCCACTTCTGTACAGATTGGATCATTGCATGCCCATTGATTGAAGCTATAAGAAATTTCCAGAAAACAGGGAGTCCTGTATATGCCTATTTATTCGCACATCGCCCTTCAGGGTCAGTCTGGCCTGAATGGATTGGGGCATCCCACGGTGCTGAGCTTTCTTATGTTTTTGGGACCCCTGAATCCGTGCTTCCTGTCAATCAAACGTACACAGAGGCTGAAGCCAGACTGAGCCGTAAGATGATGCAATACTGGGCAGAGTTTGCCAGAACTGGGTAAGTGGTTCACTTTATTTNGTGAATCCATAACTTTGCTTGCTTCCAAATGGTGACCACGTGACCCTGGGGTGCTGCAGCCATTGTAAATACATGCCAGTTGCCAAGTACAGGGAAAAGCCCTGAAATTTTTAAGGATTCTTAATTATGTCACTTATAGGTAATCGTTCTTTTATGAGTTCAGTGGTATTACACATATTCCAGGTATGTTATTTCTACAAGTGGAATAAAGAAGGTAAAAAGGAGATAGGAAACATTACTGTATCATTAGGAGAATGAGGAAAGACTAGCAAGGGAGTAAGTAGTAAAGGGGAAACACCCAAAATGGAGGGTGCCCAGGGTGTGAGGAATGGGGGTGGTGGATTGGGACTGGCAGATTTCAAGAGTCTGTGAGGAGCTGACCTGGGTTTGGATCAGCAAGGAGGAGACACAAGAGATTTCACCCAGCAAAACCCCACCCCTCCCTCAAGGTCCCCTTTGGGAGTTCCCCTTGGTTATAGTTTCTCAAGTCAAGACTGGTCCCTTTGGAAAAGAATTACATCAGAATAACATACATCAGAATAACTGCGTGGGAAGGGACCTTGGAGGTCTTCTAGTCCAACCTCCTGCTCAAGCAGGTGATTCTATTCCATTCTGGACAAATGGCTGTCCAATCTCTTCTTTGAAACTTCCAGTGATGAAGCATCCACAGCTTCTGAAGGCAAGCCGTTCCTCTGATCAATTGTTCTCACTGTCAGGAAATTTATCCTTATTTCTGGGCTGGTTCTCTCCTTGATTAGTTTCCATCAGCATCCTTTTCTTCCTCCATAGGAATCCTGCTGAGGATGAGTGGCCGCTCTATAATGCCACAGAGCAGAATTTCTTCCTTCTTAATACTGAGCCATTCCAGCAAAGGGCGATCGAGCACTGTGACTTTTTAAAGAGCCATTTTTCAAAGGCTGAAGAGCCACGTAAGTTCAACTATTAGTTCTGCCTTTGGAGGGGAGTAGTGGTTGATGAAAAAGATATTTTTTAAAAAATTATTGATATTTATACATTAAATGTAGAGACCACCCATCTCACTCATACAGCAATCTCTAAAAGTCTTGTTTTTATTGGCAGCCTTTGCTGAGACTGAAATAAAACATTTGATTTTGTAGTGGGCAATTTTGTAATGTCTCAAGAGTTAGGTCTCTACTTATGTCTTAGAACAGTGCTTCTCAACCTGTGGTTCACAGGGGGTCCACAAAGACTTGAAAAAATGTTATGATTTAAATCTTGAGTTAAATCTTGGGGGTCCATTACCATAAAGGATATTTAAAGGGGGTCTGTGGTGAAAAAAAGGTTGAGAACCACTGATCCACTCACTATGTATATCTTAGTTCCTCATATAAAGATAACAACAACTATAGTAGTAGTAGTAGTGATGATGATGATGATAATAATGATGATGATGATGATGATGATAATCCCAAAACATCTGGACCACCACTTGGCATGGGCCAAATTCCCATCAATCAATTGCAAAAAGCAATTTCTTGGAATAGCTTACATCATAGGTGTCAACTCGCCACGTCATGTGACGTGTCATGACGTATCATGACTTTTTTTGCATTGCCGGTGCTGGGATGGGCGCAGTCTCCTTGTGATGCAACTGGCCCATGGGCCGGCAGTTTGACACCCCTGGCTTATATCCTGCGATGATACCTTTAACTCCATCAAACAATATCTGCCTGTCCCAGCTCTTTGGGAAGGCCTGGATAGGTGAACCAAATATGTCAAATCCAGTCTAAACATCTGGTTGACTATGTGATGAACAATAATATATTTTGATATATATATTTAATAAATATATATTATGCCACGGAATCTATGGAATCTTCAGAATCCAACTTCAACATGTCCCAAAGGTGCTTTTTCATGGGGCAACTGGATTTTCTTGTTTTTCTTTGAAGACGTTTCGCTTCTCATCCAAGAAGCTTCTTCAGCTCTTCTTCATGAAAAAGAACCTCTGGGACAACCATGACCTGGATGACTGAGAATCTCTATAGACAACTTCTAGGATTCAGATTCTTTAGTGATAAGATGTCCACCTTACCTTGATATTTCACTTTTCTTTGTTCTGCAGAGAAGTCCGAAGGTGATTCTGTTTGAAGAAGAGAGGAGGTAGGAATCCACATGCTTGGTTGTAGTAATGGGCATCAATTGGGATCAAGTCGGATGATTTCAGAAGGGGGCTAGATTTTATTTCTAAATAGTAGTATCACATCGTCATTCCAAACAATTTTTAAGTAGCACTTTTGTGGTTCAGCCTCACTGTGCAGAGTGGAAGCTCTCCAAGCCAATGACCTTTGTGGAAGAGGAACCTGGAGGATCTCTAAATCGCAGCATAAACAAATATAGATCTTGGGCACTGGAAAAGAAGGAATGAGCCATTAATAGTAAATTACAGAGAAGATTACACAGTGCTGAGAAAGAGGAAGCATGAGAATGAAACTCAGCCTGGGAGGGGGATCAGTTTTCAGATGAATGGGACTATTTAATAGACAAATGGAGATATTAGGAATGTGTCCTTGTAGCCTCCCCCCCCCGTGCCTGTGGTAAATTTTATCAGAACATTCACATAGGCAACCCTGAATCTCAAGATGCAAATATTTCTCCTAACTAAGACCACTGTCCTCTCTAGATAACAGAAGAGCAGGAAGTAACTTCAGATCAGTGATGTTATTACTTACACATATATATGCATGTATATAAATCCCCCTCCATTTTGAAATGTATAAATATGAATGAATCTGTCAGGTCTGCCATCATAAGCGCTTCGGCCAACTTCATTTCGCTGGCATAGTGCTATAAAATATGGGAAGAGTGAGAATGGGGATGTAGGGAGGGGAAATGATAGGATGACAGGAACCAGAGGTGCCAATCTGGAACAAATGCAAGGACACTAGTGAGAATGGAATGCGAAACTCCACCAAAGAGGAGCCAAACCTTAAAGCTGTTACCAAAACACCTAATTAGAATATTATTGGACACTTACAAATTGGTCAAGAGGGGAGGGCCAGGGAGAAGGGGGAAAGGCAGGATTTGCACAGGAATACTCAGATCCAGCTTTCCTTGCACTGTAACCACTTGACTTTAGTAAAAGTATACTTTTTGCTACAAATGGAGTCGAGGGTCTTTATTTCCTAAACGTCCAAGCTGGGACAAGCCTGACAGCATCCTTTTCTCTGCAAGAGTTCCTCCCACTGTTTTCTGAAGGGAATTTCTCCAGTGTGCACTGTTAACAGTAAATACTGCAGCAAGCCTTGATTAGTTACTTTGGGTCCTGCATTTGGATTCCACAAACCCCACCTTGCTTAGTATAAGATGGGAACAGAGAGCATTTTAGATGGACTTTTAAGGTTAAGATTAAGGGACCTGGCTAGACATCAGGAGACTGTGAATTCTAATCCTAACTTAGCCATGAAAGCCAGAAAAGTAGGATTAGAACTCTAAGTCTGGTAATGTTTAGCCTGGTGCCTTAATCTGAATCTCAGAAGTCTATCTAAGATGCTCTGTATTCCCATTATACTAAATAGGCCGACTTGAGACTAGTCATTCTCTCTCAGCCCAAGTCACCTCACAGGGTTGTTCTTGTGGGGAAAATAGGAGGAGGAAGGAGTGTGAGTTTATTTGTAAAAATAACCAAGGCGAGATACATAAAATAAATAAAATTCTCTTATTCTACCTTCCTACAGAGAAAAGCATTCTGGAATCTCTGCTTTGCCTATTTCTTGAACTGGCCTAACATGAAGGGCTGCCATTTAAGTTGAATCTCTTTGAAAATCCACATCTTAAAGGCACTATTTGAAGACGTAGCTCCAGTGTTGTTGGCTTCAGAATAGCGGTTGTGTGTTTATTTCTCTCAGGAACCAATCAAGACTTTTCCTTAAAGCCTGGGGAAATGATGACAAGCTGTGCCAGAGAACCTTCCGGAAGGATCCATTGTCTTTTCAGAGACTGACTAGGGGGAACTTGGAAGACGAATAAGGAGACAACTAAACCCCACATAGCTTTTGCTGTAAAAATAATAAACTGCTAGGTGTAATTTGTTATATCTTGATTTGAGACAGGCTTTTAATTACACCCCCCCCCCCAAAAAAAAAGAACCTCTTAATAAATACTGTCTGAATTCTTTGGATAAATATCCTGTTATTTTCACAATGTAAACACTTGATGCAATATGGAAAAACAAATAAAGGAAACAGGAATTCTGCCAATTTTTTCTATAACCTAATGACTATCATATCTTTTTCATAGGGCTGAGATCCTTAAATCTAATGAATGAGCAGGTTTGGTATTCTGGGTATTGCAATCAAAATTATTTTAATATAACCTGATATGGAGAAACCAGTTTAGACAGAATGCGTAAATTAGGATATGATCCATTTAATTAGAGATGTTATCTCATGTGCTGTAAAAACAGTTTCAGTCTCAGATTCTAGCAGTTACTGGAATCCTTTTCCTGCTTTGGAAAAAGAAGTCCACCTGTTGCCCAACCAGAGAAATTCATAGTATTAAGAGTTGGGCTTTCTAAAGTTTTCCCTTTAGCAACTATCTACTGAAACTACCTCCATCAGCTTCCCCCGCCCCAAACTCCCAATGTTTCTCTTGAAAGTGATGTGGGGAAGACCCATCTCTACTCCTTGTGCTTTCAATCTGGGCTCCATTGATAAAACTGTCAAATATAATAAAAGATACACGTGTTAGAATGGCCCAATGAGCAGGCTTCAAGAGAACAGAACAGTCACACATAGCAAATGTTTAAAAAGGCAGAAATAACTACCATTTGCAACATCCCAACTGCTTCCCTGTTGACCTTGATTGCAGGAAGCTGGCGAAGAATGCCATAAATGGCAACCACCTGTTTATGGGATAGCCACAGCACTGAGCACCCAGATTGTGACACTGTGAGTATGGGGACACTGCAATGGCTGGAACCTCAAGGACATCATCACCCCTCATTCAGTGCTATCATTTCAAATGGTTGCTGAATCATTGGGTCATTCCGTGAGGACCACCTGTAATGTTATCATGCAATCATTCATTTGGGGAATAAGATAAAATTAATGGGAAGGAAATAAGGACATTTGTGCTGTGAAGTTTCACAGAATTTGATTTCTCAAGTCTTTCTCCATGTGTCCTATGACTGCAAAGCAACAAGGGTGTGTCATAATTGCCTGTGGCTACCCCTCAACACCTTTCTTGATGATAACAAATGCTTCTTTACAAATCTCAAAGCCAACAGCCCAATTCAAGTTTCTAGTCTTACATGTTCCTTTTCACTTTCACTGCTATTTCACCAAATCTCCTGGAGAATCTTCCATTTCTTTTGTTTCCTGAACTCAGAAATCCAGATGACGCTGGCTTGCAACCACAATTTGCGAGTCCCCTCAAGGCTGAGCCTTTTTGGCTTCATTCTTCTTAGTTAAATGTCTATGGAGATTCTCAGTCATCCACGTCATGGTTGTCCCAAAGGTGTTTCTTCCAAAAGGAAACTGAACTTTCATGGGTTTTTTCTTTGAAAATGTTTCTTTTCTCATCCAAGAAACTTCTTCAGTTCTAACTAACTGAAAGACAAAGGTCACTCTTTTAAAGACAGCAAAGTCCACATTCTGGACAGAGAGACCACTGGTTTTGAAAGAGGTGCTAAATTAAAATTGAATAGCCCCCCCCCAACAGGATTGTCTCTGTTGCACAGGACTTGGCTTGGTCTACGACGGTCACAGTTTCCCAGTTGAAATTATGGTAAGTCTGTGCATAAATTGTGAAATTAAAGAGTTTTCATAATGTCCTGTGACTAGCACTCTGACAAATTGGCCACTTTTCTGCAAGAAAACAACCAAGGTCAGAGAGCACCAAGGACTCCTCATTTCAACCCTTAGCTACAAGTCTTCTCCTTTAAAGTAGAATAAATTGTTCCAGATCATTTGTAGTATCTCAAGTGAGAAAGCTGGGTGGATTTGCTCGATTATGTGTTATTTACTTTCAGGTTCTTTAGTTGCTTTGAAATCTGGACAGATGTTGTAATGGCTCTTTTCAAGGCTGGAGGTTGCACACCAGAGATGGTGACTGTCCTTTGCTCTAGAGTTCTCTCACCCCATTTGAAGGAAGTTCCCTGCTTTTCCATCTCTTTGATCCTGGAGCCTTTTGCCAATATTTGCAGCTTCCTCCCCCTTTTTGGGCAGAATCCAGTGGGTCAATGGACCTTCATGCAATATATAAAGGTGCTCTTTTCATGATCATTTTTTGTGAGCAGGATACAGCCTGGTCATCTCTGAAACTTTCTTCTTTCGAATAACCAGTAGTCCCGTTGAATCTGACAAGTAAGTAAAGTCTGCAGAATTTTTTTAAAAACATTTTTTTCAGAGAATTAGATGATTTTTAGGAAAGGGACTAGAATTTCTTGTTT